GCTTGCTTGTATTCTCATATACTTGGGAGGCTGAGGCAGCAGGATTGCTTGAGCCCAGGAGTTTGAGGTTGCTGTGAGCTAGGCTGACGCCACGGCACTCACTCTAGCCTGGGCAACAAATTGAGACTGTCTCAAAAATAAAATAAACATAAAGATCACAGTTCTAAATGGCCGGTTATATTAAATGCTGACCTTTTTCTTCCAATGAAAGTGACAAAGGTTCGAATGAAGAGCTCCTTTTGTGAGCAGGTGAAACAGGGATCCTACAGGTGAGATGAGTGGGCTCTGCCTGGGCTAGGCGGTGGGAGGGGTGAGGCGGCCTCAGTGAAGGGTCCCTGTGGGGCGGTGGTTGCCCCTGGGAACTGGCAATTACAAGAGCTCATTTAATTAAACAAGGACCTGAGTGTTCTGCACAGGATGCAAACTAGCAGGTGGAATGCAAAGCTCATTGCTTCACACTGGAGGGAAATTACACATTCCTATCCCTTTTTTTTTTTTTTTTTTTGGAGACAGAGGCTCACTCTATCCCCTGGCCTGGAGTACAATGGTGTCATCATAGCTTACTGAAACCTCAAATTCCTAGGCTCAAGGGATTCACCTGTGTCAGCCTCCCAAATAACTGGGACTACAGGTGGGTGCCACCATGTTCTGCTAATTTTTCTATATTTTGTATAGACTGGCTGAGCTCCAACCCCTGGCCTCAAACAATCCTCCCTACTCAGCCTCCCAGAATGCTAGCATTACAGGCATGAGCCATGGTGCCTGGCCAAATTCCAATGTCTTTTAAATATATTTGCTTGGTACTTCATTTATTCACTGAGCTAAAATCTTTGCTTGGCCTACATTAAGGTCAGTGATATATATTGTATGTGGGCTTCACTCCTCCTTTGAAAATAAGGCAAGACACTTTCCTCCCTTCTGTTTTTCTGAGAACATTTACCTTAGAAAACTTGTAAATATGAGTAGTTTCTCATGAAATGTATATTGTGAGAAACTAAGTGAACCTTTTGGTAGTATAATAACCTGGGCATGTCTTTCTGATGGACTTGAGAGCCATGCATTTGACGTGTCAACATCAAGGGAGATAACACCTGTATTTCTTCGTTTCTGTGGAATTATAGGAGCCAAACTAGAGTGAGCACCTGGCTCCAAGTTGGAAACCCACCACCTGTCATAAATGTGTCTGTGGGTTAGGGTTTTTCCCCATCCCTCCGGGTAAGCTAATTAGCTAACCTAGATGGTCACTCCATTACGCAGCGGAGTCAGGATGACCAAGGGTGCTGTCAGGTCCTCTCATTTGAGGCTACTTAGTGTTTATCTTGAAAACAAGTGCCTAATGGGTTGTATGGAAGCTCCAGTTCCTTCCTGTTTCATCTCTTAGTAGGTTGTGTCTGTTGCCCATCACAATCTAGCTTAATGCATGTTCACGAATAAAATTGTTTTCTTTCTCCACTACTTTTGTGCAGAGAAATTTTGGATCAGTAGTATATTTAACAAAATGTTTTTCTACACCCATAATATTCTTAAATTTTAAAAATAGAAGCTAAATATATTTCACACCTCTCCCTTCTGATTTTTAGAAAATTTTAATTATATTCTCCCGATAGTTTTGAAAGGTAATGAATGTCATTTCTTGGATAATTTCCATGATTTAATCAGTTTGTGGATAACTAGTTTGTGTTTACTACTTTAGGTACACTAAATTCCTAATACAGCCTCAATGAAGGATTACATTAACACTTTCAGCAGGTTTGTGGATACAAAGACTTTTAAAGGAGTATCTGTTACATCCATATCTGTATTTATTCCGTATATCAAATCTGCACTATGGATTCACCTACAGCTTTCTTTCCCAGGTCACAGAGAAAAACAGAAGCTTCTTTATGTTTGTTAAGAAAAATTTATTCTCATCAGTTTATTTATCTGCTAGATAACAAAACTTCCTCTCTTCCTTATCTTGAGCAGGGCTCAGCTGGTACAGCGGGGATGTCATGAGAACTTAGTTTTTGACTGTTATGTTGGTGTTACTGCTTGCATTGTGTAATTATGACCAAAGAATTCAGGCAGCTGTGTGCACATTTTTTTCCATGATCAGCAGGAAAATATAAAAGAGAAAATATTGTCCTGAAAATAACTCTAGGTGTTGTTGAATTTAATGATTACACAGAACCCTGACTTTGGCATTTATGGCCCCATCTTTCTTTTTATTTTTCCTTAATTTTCTACTCATCAGTCAACTGAACGGCCATATCTTTTGACGATTACAACGTTTTCTATATGTGACAGGAACAGACACCACACAGCTAAGTGAATACTCAGGGCCCTTCAGTGCCATTCAAAGACTGAAGTGTGGGTAAGTTTATTGCTATTATTATTTTTACTTTACATTTTCTCATAGTCCACTTGTAAAACATGACATGCGTTAATTCTTGAATTTTGCTCATGTTATAATAGATGGTGATACTGCTAGGAAATAAGAGAGTGTAAAAAACAACCACAACTCCCCTTCCTTCCACCCGCTTTTTGGTTTTTGTAGAAATGGCTCATTGCAAAGAACCATACTCCTGACAGCACTTCATTAAGTCTAATGATAGCTCCCTTATTTACAAAAGTAAAATCCAGAGACAGATCCTTCAAATTCTCATTCTTCTTCTTATCAAGGATTATTGTTTGTATTGAATTGTTTTTCCTCACTGATCAATAAAAAATGCTGGCTAACTTGACTTACCAAACCTCAGGCTTTCCTCCTCCTCCCAGATCCCTGAACTTTGGACAGTCTTGGCCAGTGAAATGACCACCCTCTCCTCCTTGCAAGCCCTCCCAAGACCAGGCTTAGGACAAAACATTCCCTGAAGAAGTATAGGTCATGCCCGGGGCTCATGTTCTGCCCCATGCCTGGTCGTTCCTAGCCTGTTTCTTCTTCCATCTTAAAGAGAGGTCTCTTCTGTGTGACTCTTGAATGTTTGGGGAGCTTATTTTTGGAGCATTCCCCCTATTGCAATAATCCTTTTCAATACAATTTCTTCTAGACTAAAGTTGAATTTCTCTTTTAACACAGGAAAATATTTTCTTTCTTCCATCTGTGTTAGAATATGTATATGTATATTCTCTTCTCTTTTTGTGCCTGAAGCTAAAATACATACTCAATATTTGAAAGTAGTTTGTAGTTTGGAAATGTGTTTTGAAAATTCAATAATTTACTGAGGCCGGGCACAGTGGCTCACACCTGTAATCCTAGCACTCTGGGTGGTTGAGGCTGGAGGATTGCTAGAGCCCAGGAGTTTGATTTTGCAGTGAGCTATGATTGTACCCCTGTACTCTAGCCTGGGAGCATGACCATGTCTCAAAAATAAATAAATATATAAACAAAGAAACAACAAAGAAAATATGATGATAGCAGTCAAACTGGCATACACCTGTAGGGCTAGCTACTTATGCGAGGCTATGGTGGAAGAATTGCTTCAGGCGAAACATTCAAATCTAGCCTGGCCATTATAGGGAGACCCTGTTTCTATAACAAAACAAATATAATAATAAAATGCTGACATAACTTCTCACATTCATCACTGTGCCATGCCAGTGCTCATTTTAAGCTGCTAATATGTTAATGGTAATTTTCATATCTAAACATCATGTTTCCACTAATTACCACCTTAGGATGGAGGAAGCCTTCCCAACTAAGGATGTGAGAGAAAATCATACTGCTATATTTTCATTCAAAAACATTGCTATAGGCCGAGTGTGGTGGCTCACGCCTATAATCTTAGCACTCTCGCAGGGCGAGGTGGACGGATTGCTAGAGGTCAGGAGTTCTAAACCAGGCTGATCAAGAGCGAGACCCTGTTTTTACTAAAAATAGAGAGAAATTGATTGACCAACTAAAAATATATATACAAAAAATTAGCTGAGCATGGTGGCTCATGCCTGTAGTCCCAGCTACTCGGGAGTCTGAGGTAGTAGGATCGCTTGAGCCCAGGAGATTGAGGTTGCTGTGAGCTAGGCTGATGCCACAGCACTCACTCTAGCCTGGGCAACAAAGTGAGACTCTGTCTAAAAAGTAAATAAATAAATATTGCTATAAAATTATTGTTGGCAGACATGAAGCTGTGTAAATTTTGATAAGCTTTCTTAAGTGTTCCATAAAAGAGAATAATGTGTCTATTCCATACACTTGGAAATATTGCAGAATTCATGATTGTTTATGTCAATATATCCAATGGTCTTCTGAAGATGATTTTACAGGCTTTGTTTTCCACTCTTGCCAGAGTATTGAAAAGGAGAAAACAAAAGACCTAAAATCTATTCGAATTTTTAAATAAAAGTATGTTTTCTTCCTAATTACGTTCATAATGCACTTACATGATTTACAAGATATTGATGTGAACATATTATGATGTCAGCAAAATTTATCTGACAGGTATTTGTTACCTCCTCTCAAGAGTGTAAGAGAGTAATAAGTGTAAGGAACAACTACCTAATTTCTACCTATATTTAAGTTATTGCCTTTTTTAAAGGAATACTTGGTGACCTAACTTGTCACTGACCTTAGCCCTCCACGCCCTGAGTGTCGTCCCTGTGAAAGTCTCTGAAACTGAGCTCGGCCTGACTCTCCCTCCGGAGTGAACGGGGACTAGAAACGGAAAGGATTTCTCCTGTGTTGTGTTGGGCATCAGCATGAAATGCCACCTTCCGCCCAGGCGGGTTTTGCGATACACATTTTCGTTTGCCTGTGTTTTACAGAAAACTTAATTGCTAAACTTAATTTTAATTGCAGGAACTGTCCTGGATTCAAACCAACCGACGCTGACGCCGCCATCCAGATTCCACTTCCCAGACCGCTGAATTGCCGCAGCCTCCCTGGTAGGTTTGGCCTCCCGAATGCAGAAAAGTGGAGCAGACAGGAGCCAGGTGGCAGGACGCGCAGGCCCCGCCCAGCCGCCGCCTCGGCCCCGCCCCGGCCCCGCCCACCCCGGCGGCCCCGCCCCGGCCTCGCCTGCGCGCGCACTTTCCCGCAGACCCGGAAGACGCTGGCGTGGAGAGACTGCGACCCTCTGGCGGGTGAGTTTCCCTTTGTCCCCTCAGCAGTTCCCAGTACTTCTGTACGTGGGAGCGGGGGACCTTCAGACCCTGAAATCCTCACCGCCCTCTGTCCCCGAGTGAATGTGAACGTCCCGGAGAGTCGGGTGTCGCTTCCCTGTGAGTTAGAGTCCACCTGAGGCGGGTCCTGCGCCCGACCTTTCTGCCTTCGGGCCCTGCAGACCGCGCTTTCCGGACTGTTTCCCTGCTGAAAGCTATTCGGTGACCCCTAACGCTCGCTCCGCCCCCGTAAAGTCCTCACCTGAGGGTGGGTCCAGGCCCTTCGGGTCCCCCAGCCTCGCCCTGGCCGACCCCTGGAGGGCGGCGCCGCAGCCCCAGGCCTGGAGAAGCCGCGTTCCTCCCTGGTCCAGGGATTCTGCGGACCCCACTTCTCTCCTAATCTGCTCCCCTCCACCTCCTCCTTGGGCCGGGCCCTTCAGCTCTCCCAGTGTGTTTTCAGAAACCACTTCCTCTGATTTCGCGCTGGGGGAGGTGACCAAGGCTTGTGTTGTGACACCCAATGTTTTTCATCCCACATTCCTCCCCACTAGAAAATGTGCTCTTCTGGAGCTGAGCATGGTTTTCCTATTCCTTCCGTGTGAATATGTGGAGAAAGAGATGGACAGCAAGGGAGAGGAAATAGAATGTAGAAAGAGAAAGGAAGAAGGACAAGCACATGAACACGCTGCAAAGTAGAGGGTGTGGGAGGGATTTACAGAGACACAGGAAGAGTGAAATCAGAAGCTGGGAACTAGCACGGGGAGAAAAGTCCCTGAAGGAAGTTTAGAGAAACTCTAGATCTCCTGAGCTCTGAAGGACAGCCGACTAGGGCCATGGGCAGCACAGGTGGAGGCATCTGAGTCAGAGAGTGGGGGAGGGGACCTATGATTTGCAGCCAGGTCCAACAGAGTAGAAGAGGGAGCACCTGGTGACAAGTAGAGCAGAGAGGGCATCACAGCTGGGGATGCCAGAGAGTGGGGACAAGGGGGTGTCTCTAGGAAAGAGGGAATTTTACCAGGAGAGCAGAGAGGGAGCAGACATGGGAAGAAAGAGGCAGAAATACATGTGATTGGGACAGTGAAAAGACTGGGGAGAAGGAGCAACAATGGGTAAAACAGTTCCCAGAATAGACCATAACAGGTAGAAGAGAAGCAGTAGGGGGAAGAAGGGGAGAAGGAGCAGGAGAGAAGAGAGCAACAAAATGAAGAGATGCTCATGGGGAAGCAACGCCTAGAACTCTCTGGCTACTCGGCTGCATGTAAGAAGCACCCTTCCTTCCCCAGGTCTTTGTTCTGACATCACCTTCTCAGAGAGGACTTCTGTTATCCGTGTTCCCCATTTAACATTCCAGCCACACCTTGACCCCCACCTGTGGTCCATATTGGCTGCTCTGCATGTTTCTTCTTGGTCCTTCATCTTGTAGTGTCTGGACACTGGCGACAAGTTCCGAGGGAAGAGGACTGCCAGATTTTGGGAGGGATCCCGGCCTTGCTCCTCTGAGTGGATGTCACTCCTGGCTTCACGTTAGGGTGCTGAGGCATTTGGCAAATATTTATTTTGTCTCCTTGTCACAGATTCAACTCCACATAGGGTGTTCCCAGGCTGAAGAGTATTTAGAGTTGGGACTTTGTATTCATGGTAGATAACCACAGGTGTGTGTCCTCCATTTCCGAAGGCTGAGATTAGGGGGGGGGGAGGCTGTGCTTTGCATTGGGTTTGGTCAGGGCCATACCTGTGCCCTGCAGGGGAGCTCAGCCCAGCCCAGCTCCCTGCTGCTGCAGCGTGAGTGTGGGCTTCACCAAGAGGAGAGCCAGTTCTGATCAAAGGGGTCATAGACTCACCAGTTGATCGTCACCTATGAGTTTATTGTCCCTGCATCCCCCCTTGGTGTAATGGACAGGAGAAACCACGTTTTTACGTGGGATGTCTTTTGCTCTTCATGGATTGTGGCACAGAGGGGGCATGTGTTGAATCTCAGCATTCAACAGCATATTTTTGACATTCAGGATTGACTTTTAAAGATTCGTGTTGGGTGAGGAAGAATCCCAGATCAGGAGGAAGAAGAAACTAAAGGAGTCAGGAATGGCTGTTACTCAGGTAAAGTAATAATCTTATTGGATTGTTCTATGTCATGTTCCTCTCTCAAATGCTGGGCATTGGAGTTGCTAGTCTTCTCTGACTCTGAGCCATTCTCACTGACTTGTTTGCTCCCACTCACCCATGCCTTCCTTCAGTGCCTCTCATATCTCCACTTTGATTCCATGTCACTGTGACCTAGTCACATGACCTGGTGAAGCGGCTCCATTGGGCACAGTCCTGGGAAGGGCTTCACACAGTGACATAGGTTAGAGACCGGCTGTGGCCCTGTCGTGTCAGTGCTGTTGAGCAGCAGGGACTGTTCAGGGGCCACCTCTGGGTGTACTGTCAGCTCTCTGCAGAGCAGCATTAGACAAGCTGCACTTGTAAGTCAGGGCTTAGCATGCTGAATTCTGGAAAAGGAGACCCATTCGAGGAAATCTTTTCTGCCTGATTTTCTACTACCTTTCAAGCTAATCGAGTGTTCAGTATGTTTCTGATGCAAAATTATTTCTTACCAGGAATAGTGTGGAACGATAGACATCAGTGATAATATTTTATTCCATCATCTATTTTATAATAATGACGTCAACATCAATGTCTGAGAGCAGGAGTTTGGTTCAGAATTGTGTTATTTTTTCGAAGAGATAGGTTAAGTTGCCATTTAACTCAGTATTTCAAGTATCATGAAAAACATGTATGGTCCTGTAATCCTAGCACTCTGGGAGGCCGAGGTGGGTCGATTGCTCTAGGTCAGGAGTTTGAAACCAGCCTGAGCAAGACCCCGTCTCTACTAAAATAGAAAGAAATTAATTTACCAACTAAAAATATATATACAAAAATTAGCTGGGCATGGTGGCACAAGCCTGTAGTCCCAGCTATTTGGGAGGCTGAGGTAGGTTCGCTTGAGCCCAGGAGATTAAAGTTGCTGTCAGCTAGCCTGATGCCACGGCACTTACTCTAGCCTAGGCAACAAAGTGAGACTCTGTTTTCAAAAAAAAAGAAAACATGGATGTTGTAGAATTGTGTTCTCCACCAAAGTTGTTAAATGCAAATATCCTATTTTCTAAAGGATAGAATGCAAGTGTGTTTGAGTATTTTCAAGAAAAGATAGCAATGCTGTATGAGGTTAATAGATATCAACTATATGTTGTTAATAGTTTACTTCAACTGTAACTGTTTTACTTTTGAAAGTTAAAAATAAAATGTATTTCCGTAAAAAAAACAAAAGCAGAAGTTTGGTTCAGTTATTCTCAGTGTATCCACCCCATAGAGACTGTGGGTTTCCAGCATGGATTCTTTTTTGTTTGTTTGTTTGTTTTTTCCAGACCAGATCTTGGGCTTCCCAGACCGGAGTGCAGTGGCACAATCATAGATCAGTGTAGGCCCGAATTCCTGTGCTGAAGCCATCCTCCCACCTCAGCCTCCCAAGTAGCTTACAGTGTAGGCACACATCATCGTGTCTGTCTCCTTTTTTTTTCCTTTTCGTAGAGATGGGGTCTTGTTATGTTACCCAGGCTGGAGCTGAACTTCTGGCCTTTGTCATCCCCCCCTGACCTCCCAAAGTGCTGGGATTGTAATCGTCAGGCACATGCCGAGCTGGAAAAAATTCTTCCGTGAACGTTTTGTTGTGATGTTTTATAATGGAAGTTTCAGATCATATATATAAAATATATGTCATAAGATGTTCATGTCATTTAGCAAGCTGTTTTCTTTCGTTTTTCAAAATTATGTTGATATTCCTTCGACTTGCTTAGCATATAAGGTTCGGCAGTATCCATGGTTCCACTGGGGTTATTGGAGCATATCTCCAGTGAATCAGGGGATTCTTCCCTGTTCTGTGTCCAGAATTTAATACTAAGGCACAGTGTTCTCCATTGCTGAGGGTGGAGATCAGCCTGAGATCCAAGGAGGAGTGAGGGAGGCTGTGCTCTGCATCAGGTTTGGTCCTGGGTAGGTCAGTGCCCTGGTGGGAGCTCAGCCCAGCCCAGCTCCCCACTGGTGCAGCGTGAGTGTGGGTGTCACCAGGAGTAGAGCGAGTTCGGAAATGGTCAGAAACTCTGCAGTTTGTCTTCCTATTGCAGTTTATTTTCTGTGAAACACCCTGGTTCAGTGGGCAGCAGAGGGACATATCTGCACAGAGACATGTCCTGTTATTTCAGTGGACATGTATAAGTGTATATATATATAAGTGTGTGCATGTGATGTGTGTGAATGTGGGCATGGATCACCAAAGGCACATCATCACTTTATATAAATTTTATATTTTTGTCAGTTATAATTTTATCTTGAATATTTTCCATGGGCTTCAAATTTTTCTATACTATCATGTTAATGAATTGATATTAGTGAGTATATGTAACATATGACTGGTATACATGTGTGTACATGTGTGTAATGACCTTTGGTGTAGTAGCATGCTTTGCTCTTTTTTTTTTTTTGAGATAGTCTCACTTTGTTGCCCAGACTAGAGTGTGCCATGGCATCAGCCTAGCTCACAGCAACCTCAAACTCCTGGGCTCAAGCAATCCTGCTGCCTTAGCCTTTCAAGTAGTTGGGACTACAGGCATGCACCACCATGCCCAGCTAATTTTTTTCCATATATGTTAGTTGGGCAATAAATTTCTTTCTATTTATAGTAGAGATGGGTCTCGCTTAGGCTGGTTTTGAACTCCTGACCTCAAGCAATCCACCCGCCTCGGCCTCCCAGAGTGCTAGGATTACAGGCGTGAGCCACCACGCCCGGCCACTAGCATGCTTTATCCTTGAATGTCTTTCAACTTCTCTCAGTTAAGTAATTCTCTGTCAATTTACTTTTGAGGCTGATCTGCGTCTTAACTCTGTGATCCATGAGGTCTCATCCTAATGCCCAGACACCTGGGATCAGTGCTTACTCTGTCATTTTTAGCCCATTGCCCTCAGAGCTGTTTTTTCTAAGTGTGTCTGAGACAGATTTATCTCCTTAGTAAGATGGGAATGGATCTTTCTCTCATGGGCTCTTGTTGTTATAGCAGGTAGTACAAGTAAAGCATTTAGAATACTGCCTAGCATATGGGAGGTGTTCAAAAGCTTCCAGTATGCCTCTGCTGTCTTCATCACAGGTTTTTAGATTCTGATCTTCTTTTACAAGCCACTATGGACATAGTCATCTTGAAGACACTAGACACTACTCATATTCTAGTTCAGGGAGATACTGAATATCATTTGGTGTGTCAGACAGAATATCTAACACCTCTATAGAGAAAAGAGATAAACCTCTGTTAATTTTTTGTTTTTTTTTGTATTGTCCACAAAAATGAGATCCACACCTATTTAGAAGATATCGTAACTTCTTACGAGAAAGTATTATAAAACACATAATGGCTCAAAAGTATATTAATGTGGATCTGTCAGAATACTCACTTCAACCAAATCAATTTTTACAGGTCTCTTCTCATTTTTTGTAATGAGATGTTTTACATTTTAGGGACATTTGACATTCAGGGATGTGGCCATAGAATTCTCTCAGGAAGAGTGGAAGTGCCTGGACCCTGCTCAGAGGGCTTTATACAGGGCCGTGATGTTGGAGAACTACAGGAACCTGGTCTCCCTGGGTGAGGATAACGTGGCTCTCGACATCGGGATCTGCCTTGTGTGTGTCTGCATTTTCTCTGTGTGCCCCTTGGGAGGCCCTGCATTGCTTGACTGGGATGGAAGTCTTATTGCCTCAGAAATGAAAGCCCCATAATGCCTTCTGGACTTTAAATGTCCCCTTTCTTCAAGTGTTCTGTCTTCTTCATAATACATCATTTTGTGGCACAATGGTTTCCATATGTAAAAAAGCCTTGTGGGAAACTTTAAAAATGTCCAGGTCCTTGTCTTCTCCTCCCAACCTTTCACTTCAGTAGTTATCTGGGGGAGAACTAGATGTTTGCATAACTCACTTGTATACACATTCAGAAAGACGCCATCTATGGATGACTTTGTGGAGTATGTTTCTTGTTCCATTTGTAATGTCCTCTCTCCTACCTAAATATAGGGCTTGAATTTTGGCAAAGCCACAGCACTTCTTGATTGTTTGTTTTTCCTAGCAGGAATCTTGCTTCCTGACCTGAGGGTTATCTCTGTGTTGGAGGAAGGGGAAGATCCCTGGACTATGGACAGTGAAATGAAAACACCAGGAAACTCAAATAGGGAGGAGAGGATCCCAGGTTTGCATTCAGGTAAGAGCTCCGGTGGGCACAGTGGAAGCCACACTATTAAACAGTGTTTGGAAAAGTTTGCAAGTCGGGGAGTTAGGTGGTCAAACAAAGTTTTAATGCTGTGAGCTCTAAGCAGAAATCTTTGCCCATCCTTAACCACTCTATTCTTTAGACATGTGATAGTTTATCCTTTTGGCCTCCAGGGGGTGCTGCAGCTCAAACAGAGACCAGGGCAAAGTAGAATAAAGATTCTATGGGACACCTGTCATCTGGCTTCTGTGAACTCTTTTCATCTGACTTTCCTGTAATGTTCACCTGGCCCCTGGTAACTGACAGCCTGGTGCTGTCCTGTTGTTCTGTGCCTTTGTTGTTCTGCTGCCTTTGTTGCTGATGACCTTGTCCGTGGGTGTCCATACCACTGCCAGGGTATGTTGCTGCTCGTTGCTGTTCCTAATAGTGCCCTTCAATGTGAGCTATCCTCAATGTGGGTCATTTACTTATTTATTTATGCTCTTCTGGTGACAATTATGAAGTTAGATTTACTCATTTTAGATACATGCACATAAGTTTTCATTCATTGCACAAGCACAACTCTGTATCTACTAATATGTAAAGTGGTGGTACCTCTGATATCATGCCCCTTTTGTTTTCAAAGAAATTTGACAATATCTTACGTTTTATGAGATTAGCAGAGCTAAAATTCATCATGTTTTTCTCATTCTTTGTATTTAGAATTGTTTCATTACCTAGAATATTGAAAGTCACTTCTCCCTAACCTATTTTCTCTGGCCCTCCCCATTTTTATTTCTATGAATTTGATAATTTCAGATCCCTCATAGAAGTGAAATCATAGAGTATTTGTTATTTAATGTCTGGCTTGTTTCACTTAGTGTAGTTTCCTTCAGGTTAAACCATATTGTAGCATATAAAGTAATTTTTTTTTATGGACTCAATCTTTTTTTTATGTATTTAATATAGACATGTTTATCCATTTATTGGTAGTGAACACTTCGCTTCTTGTTGACTTTTTAATAGTGTTGTTTTTTTTTTAACATGAGTTTGTATATACCTGCTCACAATCTTTTTTTTTTTTTTTCGGCATATTATGGGGCTACAGATTTTAAGGTTTCAATAAATGCCCATTTTCCCCCCTTCCCCCCACAAGTCTGAGTTTTGTTTTTAGGGGGGGGACAGAGTTTCACTCTGTTGCCTAGGCTAGAATGCCGTGTCATCAGCCTAGCTCACAGCAACCTCAAACTCTTGGGCTTAAGCAATCCTTCTGCCTCAGCCTCTCAAGTACCTGGGACTATAGGCATATGCCACCATGCCCAGCTAATTTTTTCTGTATATATGTTTTTAGTTGTTCAATTAATTTTCTTCTATTTCTAGTAGAGACAGGGTCTCACTCTCACTCTTGCTCGGGCTGGTTTCGATCTCCTGACCTTGAGTAATCCGCCTGCCTCGGCTTCCCAGAGTGCTAGGATTACAGATGTGAGCCATCTCGCCCAGCCTACAATCCTGTCTTTAATTCTTTTCAATATATACCCAGATATGATATTATTGGTTTATAAGATAATTCCCAATTTTGAATTATATGAAGAAATTTCTTACTGGTTTCCAAAGTGGTTCCACCATTTTATATTCTACCAGCAGGGGCCGAGTCTCTCCTTTCTCTAGTTCTCACCAACACTTTTTATTTTGAGGATTTTCTTTTATTAGTTTTGAAAATAGACATTCTGATGGGTATTTTTATCTTGTTTTCTGTGTATTGGTGTTATATCCAGGAAATCATGGTTGAATCCAATCTCATAAAGCTTTTTGCCTATAATTTCTTCTAAGAGTTTTATAATTTCAGGTTTCTTATATACGTCATGAATCCATTTTAAGTAAATTTTTTCGTATTGTGTGACATAAAGGTCCAACTTCATTCTTTTGCATGTGGATATTCAATTTGTTTTGGACTCTTTCTTTTCTTTTTGTGTTTTGAGACAGCATCTCACTCTGTTGCCCAGGCTAGAGTGTTGTGATGTCAGCCTAGCTCACAGCAACCTCCAACTCCTGGGTTCAAATAATCCTGCCTCAGCCTTCCAAGTAGCTGGGACTACAGGCATGTACTACCATTCCCATCTAATTTTTTCTATATATATTTTTAGTTGTCCACCTAATTTCTTTGTTTTTTTTTTTTTTTTTTTTAAGTAAAGATGGGGTCTTGTTCTTGCTCAGGCTGGTCTCAAAACTCCTCAGCTCAAAGGATCCATCCACCTTGGCCTCCCAGAGTGCTAGGATTACAGGTGTAGGCCACCGTGCCCTGCCCTTAGCACTTTTGTTGAAGGGATTGTCCTTTCCCCTTTACATTGTGTTGCCCCTTACTTGATCATGGTTAGACCATATATTCGTGAGTTTTGTTGTGAATGCTATTCTTTTCCATTGCTTCATACATCTATCTTCATGGCAGTACAGTACTGGATTGATTAAGGTAGCTTTGTAATGAGTTTTGTAATAAGGCGATGTAAGACCTCTTCTTGTATTTCTTTGAAGATTTTTTTTCGTATTTAGGTGATTGTGTGATTTCTTTTTAAGTATAAATTTACCTTTGCAGAAAGTTTCATTACAATTTTGCTAAGGATTTCACTAAATGTGTAGGTCACTATGGTTGTTACTGACATTTCACATCAAGTCTTTCAAAGCATGAACATGGGACATTTTTGCATTTGTTTGTGTGTCCTCTAATTTCTTTCAGTAGTTATTTCTTACATTTCTGTTTACAAATCAGTTTCCTCCTTGTTAAGCTCATTCCTAAGTATTTAATTCTTTTTGATGGTATGGTAAATCATTTACTTATTTTTCTTTTGGCATTTTTTTTTTTTTTTTTTTTTGAGACAGAGTCTCGCTTTGTTGCCCGGGCTAGAGTGAGTGCCGTGGCGTCAGCCTAGCTCACAGCAACCTCAAACTCCTGGGCTCGAGTGATCCTTCTGCCTCAGCCTCCCGGGTAGCTGGGACTACAGGCATGCACCACCATGCCCGGCTAGTTTTTTCTATATATGTTAGTTGACCAATTAATTTCTTTCTATTTATAGTAGAGACGGGGTCTCGCTCAGGCTGGTTTCGAACTCCTGACCTTGAGCAATCCGCCCGCCTCGGCCTCCCAGAGAGCTAGGATTACAGGCGTGAGCCACCGCGCCCGGCCTATTAATTTGTTTTTGAGAGAAAAAGTCTCACTATGTTCTTCAGGCTGGTTGCAAACTTTGGATTTTAGCAATTCTCCCAACTTGTCCTCCTAGCATGCAGAAATTACAGATATGAGCCACTGTGCCTTGTCCTTTCCGATTAAATACTGTGTGATTTAGAGAGGATGGCAGTGGGCAGAGAATGATTTAAAACTGGGGTGCCAGTCTAAATGCCTAATGCATTCAGCACACGCTTCACCTGAAGGAGGGCACAGTGGGTTATAGAAACGAAATGTTCTAACAACTCACAGAAAAATAATCGGCCACAACCTCTGGACACTGGGAATTTCGTGGGAAGACAATAGGTTCTTAAGGACTAATTATGTCATAGAAACAATACAGGGATAATGCTTGTCACCTTCTCTATTGAATGGCAGTACCTTTTGTTTAGCAAAGATTGATGACAAAAATCGTGTTTTTTTGAAGCTAAATTGAGAAAAGTTATCATCAGAATAGGCACTTTAATAGAAACTACCATCCCTGTGCGTGGATTCAGCAAAAAAAAAAAAAAAATAGAAACTACCAGTAGAGCATGTTCTTGGGGAGGATTTGTACTTACCTCTTGGCATTGCAATCTGCAAGTATTTTATTCAGAATATATATATATATATATATATATATATATTTTTTTTTTTTTTTTGAGACAGACTCTCGCTTTGTTGCCCAGGCTAGAGTGAGTGCCATGGTGTCAGCCTAGCTCACAGCAACCTCAAACTCCTGGGCTGGCTCAAGCAATCCTCCTGCCTGGCCTCCCGAGTAGCTGGGATTACAGGCATGTGCACCATGCCCGCGTAATTTTTTCTACACATATTATTGGCCAATTAATTTCTTTCTAATCATAGTAGAGACGGGTCTTGCTCTTGCTCAGAGCTGGTTTCGAACTCCTGCTTGAGCAATCCACCCGCCTCGGCCTCCCAGAGAGCTAGATTACAGGCGTGAGCCAGCGCCCGCCTATTCGAGATATATTATAATCTTCAATTTTATTAAGAAAATTTAGTATTTCTTCATGGCTATAAAAGAATCAAATGTTTCTACCACCATTGTCTTATTCCACCTCAGGAGATAGTTTATAAGAGAGAATAATATTCTATTAGACCCTTATGGTTGAAGCATCAAGAACAGTGTTTTGGTGAAATCAAAAACATACCCTTTTGGATACATATACTTGTTAGTTCAGTATGATTTGGGGTAATCATTCTTAGTACTTGTTATTCTAGCTACACTCTGCTCTATGATACTTGTGAGTCTACTAAAAATTGAATAGCGCATGTAGTGTCAGGAGTCTTATACCCCGAACAAGCATCATTGTTGATGAACATGCATTATAGTTTTCTACATGCTTTTCTTATGTGCCCATGTAGGACCCATGACATGGCACCTTCATTTCCTTAAGCAAAAAGCATATAGAGAATATTGAAGTTATTATGAAACAAAGAGAGGAGTGGGCAATAAGGATTAAAAATAATATAGCATGGATCAGGCGCAGTGGCTCACGCTTTAATCATAAGCATTCTGGGAGGTTGAGGAGGCGGATTGCTCAAGGTCAGGAGTTTGAAACCAGCCTGAGCAAGAGTGAGCCCCGTCTCTACTAAAATGAAAGATAATAATTGGCTACTAAAAAAAATATATATTAGAAAATTAGCTGGGCATGGTGCGTATGCCTGTAGTCCCAGCTACCCGGGGAGGCTGAGGCAGGTGAGGTCGCTTGAGCCCAGCCGTGCACTCTACCCTGGGCAACACGACTGTTGTCTCAAATAAATAAATAAATGAAAGCATGTGTTTTTTCTCTTGCAG